GTACTCTGATAGCATTTCAAATTTAGGGGAAATAGTTCCTGTTTGGAGCATCATTGTAAGTGTTGTTTCACATTATAAATAGTTATCCATTAGTGTTACGCTAACAGGGTTAACAATATCTACTAAAAGGCTCAAAATTTCATCACTTCCTCTTTTCATAAAATCCGTATTGATAAAGAATGCATAATGCGTCATAACTATGAATTTGTTGGCATGGTCTTTTATATATCTTTGATAATGGGTGTGTAGTACCTTGCTCTTGATGAAGAAGTTACACTGGCTATGATGCACAGGATTAAACTCTACTTGAATGTAATATGCATGACTGAAAATCGTTTATGACATGTTGAGATTATTGTGGATGTATTTTAATTGAAATTTCCTTTTTTAATGATATTCGTGAAATTTCTCAGCATACAGCATTTCTTTTGTTTTGAAACTTAATCAGTTGGGGAAGTAGAGCATATCAATTAGATAATATGATTTATTCATGCTGTTTGAAGAGACATAATGATAACTCATTGTGTCTACTTCTGTCAGATGTTAAACTTCACAATAGCATGTTTATTGCAGCAGATCATGATTATTTGGAAATTCTAAAAATATGTGCATGTTAAATATGCCCCAGAAAATGGATAATGCCCAAAATGAATACAGTGCAAAGAAGTGTGTTCTCAGCTTGCCCCCAAGTTTTTATAGTGCAACCAACTCTTTTGAGTCCATTGGTAACTATATTTACCTCCTGCTTTAACAGTCACTACATCTGTATTATGCCTGCATGGGTTCTGCATGATTATCAGAGTAAATAGACAGTTTCCACAAACAATATTGGCCATCTGATCTTTGTAATGAAGAAACTTTTTTAAAGGTAGAAACTGAATTTTTAAATTTTATGTAGACTAGCTGTGGCATCAGCAGGTTAATGAAGCATTGTCACAAATCTTTAGGTAATTTATATGTTTGTGTTGGTGGTTGCAGTAGTTTTCAAACAGATTTCATATTACTCCGAGCAAACAGTTACCATTCAAATTTTGAGTTGGAATATATATGTGGTCATAATGCTTAAATTTGTTTTGGCACACTTTTTTAAATTTCATCCTTTCCTGTCTTTGATAACGTTATATTTGTTATGCAGTTGTTATAATAATGTTGGAAAACACACACACACACATATATATATATATATATATATATTGTATTCTTAATTAACTTGCATGAACATCTTTTTAATTACATGAAATATTAGATGTCAGGAAAGAAGACTTTACATAACTTTTGTACTAATTCCATTATAAGGGCATTAGAATGGTACAATACTTATATAACATTGGGTTTCATTTGTAATGCTTATAAAATTAAAATCAGTGCTTGTTATACCAGAAATACATAAGAAAACAAAACAAAAAATTTTGTTGCCTCTTTAGACATTTAATAGGCAATGATATACATTCTAAGAACACTTGGTTCCAAGGAGAGTCCTTCCATCCTGGCTCTCACATAGCATTGGCCTTCTGCCAATTGATGAGTCAGACAGTAGTATTTAAATGGCATGGTATGGTAGCAACACAACTCTTGCTTTGCATAATATACAAAACATTCTACAACTATTTTAAATAGTGAGCCACATTTCTTGAGCAGATATTCATTTGTTTCAGTAAACTGTATAAATAAGGTAAGAATTTATTTTCTATTTAATTTACTCATGCTTCTCAAATGTAGCACAAATATCAGAGAAAGCTTTAAGTTTCTTTGCTGTATCTGTCTTGCATTGCTAAAGGATGAGAAAAAAGTATTGTCATTTTAAAATTTATCTTGGACCAAATAGTTCTGTCAGCTGTTCTCAGTTAAATCCCTTATAATAAACTAAATACAGTAATACTTATTTTTGTATGAACATTTCCATAACAAATGCCTCCAACAGATCCTTGGGTTCTGGGCTGATAAAATGTATACAGTATGGGGGCTATATATAACCCTATGTAGTAATATACAAATCTGGGTCCATAGAATTTCACTCTTTCAGGGTTTTGCTGTATATTTTCATTTCCATGCATAAAGGACTACATATCATTTTCATAATAAGTAAATGTATAACTATCACCTACACATATAATGAATGAAAATTGAAAAATTTAAGAATTCAAACATTAAGGAAAGTATGTTTAGTTTGTGTTCATTTTAATGTTGAAGTTTACAGGGTAATTTTCACTTAATGCTTCAGTAGGAATTTATTTTTATTTTGTTTTAATATTTAATATACTGAGAAGAGAAAATTATGACTTGGAAGTTTATATTATAAATTATATGCATAGAACAATTAGGTGAGCCTTGACATTTAAAATGAGACAAGAATTCTAAATAAAATTATATGAAGCAGTGACAGTGCGAATATCATAGTACAGAAATAATATAAGGGCAATGAAAGAATATAGACTCGGAGACCATCAACATAACATGTACAGACAGTATAAAATAAATGCATTAATTAAAATATGAGCATGCAAAGGAAAGTGGATCCAGCATTTGTAATGAACCAAAAGCCTGGTAATGCCATCCTGTATGAAACAATATTGAAAGGCCAAATAAATACTACGTAGGATTTGAGGTTCTCACAACGGTTAGTACAAAGATGGCTTTCTTGTGGGTTGTAGCACTGTGTAGTCTGGCAGACATTTACCAATGTTTTGAGAGGTCCTTGCTGCCTCCATCATCAGGGCGATGATTGCCATCTTTAAAGAAATACTGGTTAGATCACATATAGGATTGAGTCAGATTGATCAGGAGAAGCCAAACTTTGAAGCTGATGGTGATTAACCCATTGGCTTAATCATTACTGAAAGTCAAATTACATACTGCATTAGCCCTCTGAGATGCCACTGGGTCTTTCATAAGATCCTGGCATAGCACTAACAAATGGACTATTAATTTTTTGTCATTACAGTTGCAGATATATTTAATTGATGTAATATGCATTTTATCTTGTGCAAATATAGATAATATTGATAGTTGAAATTAACATTGATAAATAATGTAATTTTGTGTTTCTTAAGTATACTAATATTTACAACATATGACAGAAGTTGAGTTATTAAATTAGCATATTTGTGTGAAACTGTAAAATAAAGAAAACCACTAGCTGGAGCAGATTGTATGCCCTGTGAAATGTAAAGATGGTTATTCTTTATCATTTGATCATTTAGTTGGAACATTTCTATGTTTTGAATTCTACTAATGGAACAGTTTCTGTCTGTTTGCCACAGTTGAGTGGTTGGCACTCTTGCTGTATAGTTTGGAGGTCACAGGTTCAAATCTTAGTCCAGAAACTGGCTGTCTGAACAGGCTTCATGGCTTTCCTTGGTCTCTATAGGCAAATGCCGGAATAGCTCCTTATATTAGGCCATGTTCATTTCCTTCCATATCCTTTCTGATTCATCATTAGTTTTAATAATTCTGTCATCCTTCTTCTTCTATGGCTCTCCTGTCCATATTTGGTTCATCGCCTCAATTATCCTCTTCCATTTGGTCCTCTGTTAGGTCCGTCTGTCCGAGGCTTTGATTGAGGTTTCGAAACATCTTCCTTTTTACAGTGCAAGGTTGTTAGCCTTGCGACCAGGGTACCTGTCTTAGTCTGACCTCTCCCCCTCGACCAATCTGGCTAGGGAGGTCCTACCAGTAGCTATGCTACCGCCAGCATAACTCTTGGGGTCACTGAGGTACTCAAGCCCCACCACCATGACAAGGTGCAGGTACCATTAAGTGGGGAATTCCGTCATTTAGTGCTATATAATCTGAGCTATTGACAGTGTTGTAAAATAAATCACAAATAAATAAGGAACAGTTTCTGGTAGTGGAATAATGATCAACTCTTTTCCTTCCAATGCTGTACAGAGTAGTAATTAATGTTTTCTACGAACCATACTCTCATAGAAATCCTTCTGCTAGTAATTGAACTGATCATTTTGAGTGTAATTGTGCCACTACTGTAGTATGATAGGAATAAATAAGGAATCTGTTTTATTTTAATGCTTTTCCATTCAATATTGTTTTATTGTATAGCATATGACAGCTGTATTTCTGCATTATAGTAATAATTGGTGCTTCTATTAGAGGCAGTTGAAACTACTTGTTATGTTTCCATATAATAATCAAGTCATAGAAACATATAGTTGTTTCTGAAGATCCACCAACTGTTGTATCATTTGTGTTATTTAATAATTTAGTATGTAATTGATTCATCCTGTGTCATTAAACAATATGACTATAAAAACTATACAGTATCATAAGAAGCATGTGCATCTTTGTGACTTGCTGTCCAATCTTGTTATGTAAATCAAAGATGTTGATTCTTTAAAAGATTTTTGATCAATAGCTTGTAAACATACACACTCTCATTGCTTACTTTTTTAATTTGTGTGTATCCTGTATGATTATTAACATTAATAACTGATGAATGCTATAGATTATCACATAATTTCCCAACATTTAAGCAGTGATGTTTTTAAACATTTTCATAAATTGTGCTGAAAAGGTCTTATTGAATATGCATAAGATCATTTTGCCACTTTTTTTGTCTGTGTATATTCTAAAAGAGTAGGATAAACAGAATTTGTTCTCTTAACTATCTCTCTCACATATACGTACGTTTCTATTATGTTAGCTGTCTCAAATTCTATCTCTTTCAGTATCAGTTTACAGAAAATATGAAAACCCCACTTTATATAAAAGAAATATATGTAGGTTCATTATTGTGAAGTTTCATTCATGTTTTATGCTTTATTAAACTATAGATATTCATTAGGAATTTATTACTTTGTCACTAATATTAATAGGGTCTGGTGGAGGGCTTTGGTTAATTCGGTGATGAACCTTTGGGTTCGGTAAGCCAACTATTTAGTTAGTCACTAATATTACATTTTATTGTTTTCTTAGTTCTTACAAGTTTTATTAGTAAGGAAAATATTTCTGTTGTTTGACATTCACTTTCTTGTAATTGAGTACAGATCTACAGACAAGCAGTTGTGTCCAACCAGCCAACCAAAGCAGTAGTGTAGTTGACACATTGGGTGAGACAGAAGTAGTTCTTCTCCAGTCATCCCCTCATCATCCGTACTGGCAACCAGTGACTATTAACATTGGCAGTGGCAGCCATGATTCCAACATTGACTGTTGTCCAAGTGCTGATGGTTCTGCCAGTGCAACACCCATCCAGCAACGTAAACAGCAAATGGAAGAACAGAGCTTGAGTGGTAAGCCTCCTTTACCACCAACTAAACTGGAGTCAGCTGCAGGTACAAATAGAGATTCGTTGCATAGTCTTCTGCAGCATACGAGCTCCACACGGAGCATCACCAGTTCTCAAAGCATAGGCTGTAGCAGTGCATTACCAAAGCCTAAGCAGCATCAAAGACCATCATCCTTATTCGTGCTTGGTGATGACCTGAATATGGAACATATAACACCTCCATCCTCTCCAAAGCATCACAGTGCATTTCGTTCTCGTTCCGCAGATGATGGACGCAACAACAGTAAACCTTTACCTGTTGCATCCACATCCATTATAACAAACCTTACCTCGTCTTTACGTGCCAAAATGTCCAATGGTTCACTTATTGAAGGAGCAACAGGAAGCCCATCTGTGTCTCCATCTTTCCTTATTACTCCGACTTCGAGTTTGGAAAAGTTGAATAGGTTAAAGGATCGTATCATGCGTACAGTAACTGCTCCTGGTGGAAACATTTCCAGTAGTTCAGGGGTGGTCAGTGGAGAAGGGCATGTAGACATAGATAGTGATGATGAAAGTACACCTCTTGTGTCAGAGATTTCCACTCCTGCTGCCAGTAGTGGTTTGAATGCATTAGCATCTGAATTCTTGAATCGTGGCTTCTCTGTAGTGGGTGGATATAGTAGTCATTCTGGCAGCAGTGATGATTCACCATCATCAGTTAAGACAACACCCATATCTCCCCCAAAAGTGATACTGCAGCAACAGCAGGAACAAGAAATGAAAGAACAGCTTCCATCTGAGGCTGACAATGGTAATCTTGATGTCCTTATTAACAGTCCTTTTATGCGAGATGATAATAACATAGCAGCACTTGAAAATTATGCCTCCTCCTCCTGTGGCTCTTCAGTCTCCTTAAGCCAAGTGCTGGAACCAGCAAGCAATTACTACCACTTGGTGACAGTGAGTGATAGTATAAGTAGTGTGGAAGTTGACTCACAGTTTAGTTCACATGAACAACTAAATGACAGTGACTTGAGACTTAGCAGCAGTAAGATGATGCTATCTTCATCATGTCACTTGTCAAGACAAGATGCCCTGGATCGTTCAGGAGGAGGTAGCTGTGGTGACAGTAAGGACCATCAAGATGAGTGGAGTAATCCGGAAACCACAGTATGATTTATTGTGATATCACTTCTTATGATATAATTCAGCAGCATTTTCACCATCACTTGCAATTCCATCCATTGCAATCTAAAATCCTGCTTCAACAGTTATAACAGATTGTGTGTTTGTTACCAATAGCAGTTATTTTGCAGAACTGATTATTCACATTTTGCAAGCTTTAATGTACTGCACCGTAAAAGTATACATAAAATCAAGGTAGATCATATAGAACTAGGGGGAGGGGAGAGAAAAAGAAAGTGGGGGCATGTGCATGCACTGTTGGTTGTAGAAAACATATTGAAGTAACTTACATTTGGTACAAAATGGACAAAAATCATTGTGTGATAGATGAATGTTGACAACTATTGACTGGCTTGTGGTTAAATAGTGCACAAATAAATATTCGCATAGTTACAAAATTGATTTCACGTAAACTTGTGTAAATTACAGAAATTATTTACTGTGTTTATAGCAGTTTCTGTTTAGATGTCAGTATTGCTATATGATTTTTTTTCCTTAAAAAGAATTGTAGTGAAAGACATCTACCATAGACATTTGTTTACTTATTTTATTCAATTTTGTGTATATACCTGAAAATGTACTTCCAGGAAATTATAATATTATGTGCTCTGTCCTACAAATATTTCTGGTGATATTATGCAGCAGATGCTGACTGATACTGTTGTTTATTTGTGATTGATGCAGCGTTGAATTGAGGTTGTAAAATATTTCATACTACCTGCATTATAGGCATATAAAGTAAGCAAAATCTATGAAGGATGTGCATATTATATAGTAGCTTTCCCTTGAGTAGAATCCATACCACATTGAGCAAGTGCCAGGAATACATCTAAAATTGTTTTAATCAGAATCCTGGTCATTTAACACCGGTGGTAAACTGAGCTCAAGTGTGTGGTCTATTTTGACAATGTGCAACACCCAAACCAATTTAATATTCTGACTGTGCTGGTTGGATATCTGCTGATAGAATGAAAATTTGTATACAATACAGCGTCAAGAATTTTGTGCTAAATGTGCGTATATCGATGACAATCTCTTAAGTGGTTAGAGATTTGTGAAATGTGCAGAGATTATAGAACTTTATATATTCTTCTGAATGTCTCTCCAATATGTTGTCCTGAGAGAATTACTTTACACTGTAGGAATTGATGGAAGAAGACATTCAAAACTGTGGCCTTGAATGCCATAAATACTGAAGTTTAGACACCCTTCTTTTACACATGGCATCATACTTTTTATTTGCCTGTAACAGTGTTCTCAAGTATAGTCATTATTGACCAGTTGAAGTTATCATTGTTTACACGACAAAGTGACATAACATATTAAGAATGCATTGGTTTATTAAAATGTGTTTGATTAAAAACCCAGATTATAAATGTCAGCATTTCCATTATCACTTCAGCATTTTGCTTTCTAAGAAGGAAGAACAATTTTTTTAAAACAGTAATATGTCATCATAGTTTAATGTAAGTTGAGTTAAGATTATTGATAATGATTCATTATAAGATTTTGTATCCAAACAATATTAATGTTTGTAGCCACCAACAATAGATCACTTGAGGACCAGTCTGCTATTAAACAGCAGACAGAGAGATTTGAATTTAAAAATAAGACTTGTTAATGTTGAATTTATTATACTTGAAGAAAACTGTTTCTGGCACCAGGTTAAAGCAATTAACACTTGTTGATAGATGAATGATGATGATAGTGTATCACTGTGGTACTATAATTTTTCATTCATCCTTCTGACAGAGTATAACTTTTTCGACATCTTTGTAATGTTTATCTGTTGTGTCTACTTTATATCCCTCATGTGCACTACTTATCACATTATGAAATATTTTAAGAATTATAAAGATAGCTTTTGTTGATTTGTTGAATGGAATGGGGAAAGATTAGATCTATTTTTAGTTTTTAGTTTGCCTACTCTTATGGCCCTTTTCATGAAGTAGATAATTTGAAAGTAACATAGGCTACAAGAAGATAGGATAACAATCCTTCAGGGTGGAACTGAACTTTTAAAGATTAAAACATACATGGCAATAGGCATAAAAAAATAAATGTTACACCATAATTTATTTGCACATGGAATAATAGTGATTTAGTAGCAAAAGTTTATTTGGAAATTATATATATTTTTTCAAAGGAAATGGGATATTTTACATGTTTCCAACTAATCACACAATTAAATTCAAATGTAACTTTTGTTATATTATGTAAATTGTACTAAGTGCTTCAGGAACAAGGACACTTAACTAGTATGCACTTCCAGAGGCTGTGACAGCAGTGTGCGTGTTTCCATACCAATAATTCAGTTAGGTTAGGTTCAGGATGCCTTCATGATGTTGTGTACTAACTTGTTTGTAACTTGTGTGTTTGTTACTACTGCAGTCTATATCATGCAGTAGATATGCTATTATGTTGGTTTTGGAGTCTGTAACAGGTAAAAATTTGTATACTCTAATTATTATTTATATTTTATTTTTGGACTGCTTATTGTCCTTACATTTGACCTAAAATGTAGAATCTGAAACTAAGGGTGTACTAATGTATTTTTTTTTCAGTCTGTTTACATCTAAAAGAAGCCATGGCTAGCACATAAGAATATGATAATATCTGTAAGCTGGTACAACTTGAAGAACAGAACTGTCTTGTGACATGTTACAAGGAAAATAGCAATATTGCAAATTCAGACTGGCTGCTAGCGTGTCTCATGTTACCGTGAGTTATGCAGCAATAGAATTACTATCTTCATATGTATAACTATTAATAGCTGTAACTTCTGTAGAATTGTTTACATTAATGACTTCCTAGTACAGAATTTGAAAGACAGCACTGAATATTACTGTGTTTAGAATATTACATGACCTAGTAGTGCATATGTTGTTGAATAAGTTTTGCTATTCCGGGCATCATAGTTAAATAACTTCCAGTTTTGTAGACATCTCGTCAGTCACTAAAAAGGATTGTATTGCACGATCTGACTTGGTTTTATACAATTTTTGTATTTATATTTTATTTAACAATACTGTCAATAGCTCATATTATATAGTGTCAAATGTGAGAATGATAATGAATTGAAAAGTATCTGGAAATATGTGATTGTAGCGTAACTTAAGGTACTATCCTGGCATTTTCCTCGAAGAGCTGAGAAATACCACAAAAAATCTGTCAGAATAGCTGGTCTCTGGGCTGAGATTTCAACCCAGGTCCTCCTGAATACAGAGCAGGAGTGATAACCACTCATCCACAATATTTGGTTGGTTTTGTTTGAAGGTCTGATAAGTTGTTATTCAAAATTAATTAATTCTTCCTCTCTACAGTTTATTGCATTAAGCCCAACATTTTAATTGCATCAGCTATATATAATCCTCCTCTTTCCTCACACTTGGACTCTGGAACAGCATACATAAACTTTTTCATTCTGTCCTGAACTAAATGTAGTTCATACATGATAGATTCAGATCTTCATTACCTTTTGTCTTTATGAGCTTACTTGTCATTATTGTGTTTTCTACTGCCCACTGCCTTCAGAGTAGTTCCCATTCGCTGTCACACTTTTCTACTACTGGCCATACCATGTTGGAAAGACTCCTGAAGGCCTTTTGCTGTTATGTCCTTGTCTCAGACTGAAAACTCCATCTTTTTAAGAGACCTATCAGTGATCTGGTGCATTGTAATGGTGGAGCAGTCAGTTTCCAGATTCCCAGTCTAGTGACTTCATTAATCAGTCATTCTCTACATTCCTCAGACTACATTTCAAACATGAGAAATAGTCCCCTCATTACAATCTACCACTGACCTTACCTTCCCCGAGTCTTCCTCCAGTAATTTTGACCATCCTGAAAATGTCTAAGCCATTTCTACACTACATCCCAATTACTGGCCTTGACACTGTATATTTTCCTGCTTATATCTAAGTTTGTAAGAATGTCTTGTCTGTCATATATACCATATTTTTCGGTGTTTAAGACACTCCCTTGCATTTGATGCACACCCAGAATCAAAGCAATTTTAAGGTATAAAACTAAAAATCAAACAAGTTGTTATATGTAACCTTCTAAAAATAATTATTCAAGTGTAACAATCATTCTCATACTGAATGAATATGAATCTTAATTATCCAACTGTGACCTATTCAGAGTGCACGGTCAGTGGCAAGGTTGGCAACCATCGCTGTATAAAACTCACAGTGAATTTGAGGCATATTTTGAAGGTAAAAAAGTGCATCTTTCACAATGCAAAATATGTTAAAACTTGTAATGTAGAATTTAAACTATTTATTGCAGTATAAATATAGGTGGGATACAGATGATGGACTTTGGGCATGTGTGCCATGAGGATGATGGTAGGATGTCCCTCTGAAACAGTGGTATATAACAAAAAGCCTATATGGTGCCACAACCCAGAAGACACTTTCTTTTTAGACTGAATGAGTACACATACAAGAAGTCTTTGCCCATGTCTTTCTTACATATCTGCACATACGTAAGACTGGTACAAGTACTGCATCACTAGGACAACTGTTGAAATAGTTCATGAGATTTCTGATTCATGTATTGTAATGGCTTTCGTATCCTCCCTGCCCTTCTCTGTACAAAACAGAGAACTCTATTACCATCACTTTCACATACAAGAAATAGCTTCCAAACTCCAGGTCCAGTCTTCAGATATATAAATTTGACTATAGTCAGTTTTAAGGACAGCAGATACAAGTAGAGGAACAGCGCTACAGAAGACACATTACACACTTGATTGTAATATACCGTAGTTTGAGAAGCTATTCATCTGACTGTCATTAATTTTTAATTATGGAGTAGAAACAGGAGAGGACAGTAACCTCTTCCCTCTGTTCCAGTATGGAATCCATTCCTGTACATGTATGGTACCCACTGTCTTCCATGTATGTTAATGTTATATTTCTGAGTAAACCTTATAAATATATATGATAGCCTTGCATGTTGTGTAGGTGAAAGTACTCATGTGGGTCATCAGTCTATTACTGAATTCCTGCATGTTTCATAGCGGTAATCTTGTTGTTGCTTTGGAAGGCATAATGTTTTGAGGTAGGAGGTATTTAACCTCAGGTTGCTGCTACAATACTGAAAGTGGTAATTTACAAAACAGTTGATGTAACAGTATAAATTGTAAAAGCTGCTGAGCTGAGAAATTCTTAGTTAAAAGTAATATGTTTGCAGACTGTAAAAAGTTGTAGATATTTTTAATCTGTTAATTTATTCATAACCATTGTCTGTGATACAGAATGGTATGTGAAAATGGTGTATCTTTTTGCTTTCTAGTCACTGTCCATAAATATGTATTCCATGAAAAGATGAATGAAAGTCTTCCATATTAAATAACTTTCCTATGAGTAAGATATCTTTAAAACCCCAGTAACTGGTTAAACATTAGACAGACGTATGTCATACAAAATGGTGAAGGCTGGATGGTTTAATAAATGCATATTATAATTTGTAATTACCATGACAAGAGGCAACAACTCAATTCTGTTGTCCAGATTGATGTGTGTTTATACTCTGATATGATGCTGAGAAGGGAAGTTGAAGACTGGATGTCTGACAGTGAATAATAGAACAAGATTAGATGCTAATGTATTGTTGATTTTCTGTTTCATCCTAGCAGAAAAAAATATTATTAACCCATTCAGTTATTTTGATGAATTCAGGTTGCAAACATTTTTATGGTCTTAAAATGTGTATGTAATTGTCCATTTAGGTGATTGTATTTCAATCAGGCATTCATAGATGGCTCCCAGCTACATACTTATGTACAACAGAAACACATGACTTCAAAAAACCCTGCTTTTGATGCTGATTCTTGAATGTTGTGATACCATTTTATTGTGTAGAAT